CCCCCCCCCCCCCCGACGTCAGCAGGGGCAGCCTGTGGGGCCCACCTGCAGGCCTAGGGGAGATACAATCCGTGGCCCGTGCGAAGGCTGTGCGGGAGCGTCTACTAGACCAGAGGCGGGCACACAGCAACAACAACAACCCCCTTCACAATTTCCCCTTGTTGATAGTAAAAGCCTGCTAATTGATTTGTGTGCATGACAAGAGACTGATGATCAACCTGCAGATGGTAGGGATCGCCCATTCTTGACGGTGTTCAGACCTCCCCTTGTCACTCAGTTTTACAGTTTCGGGGCACTCCTGGATCCTTGCCTGCACCTGCATGCTCAGGTGATGTTGTTTCCTAAAAATGCTTTACGCCACCAACCGGTGAGAAGGCTCTGATTCTTTCTTGCCGAGTCCGAGCTGGCCACCATTGACCTGCAGATGGTAGGGATCGCCCATTCTTGACGGTGTTCAGACCTCCCCTTGTCACTCAGTTTTACAGTTTCGGGGCACTCCTGGATCCTTGCCTGCACCTGCATGCTCAGGTGATGTTGTTTCCTAAAAATGCTTTACGCCACCAACCGGTGAGAAGGCTCTGATTCTTTCTTGCCGAGTCCGAGCTGGCCACCATTGTCCACACCTTCATAACCTAAGGAATAGACTGCTGCCATGTTTTCTACATAATTCTGCCATTGATGACTCTCCAGCAGCTGCACCTGGTGAAAAATATGGGGGTCTGCCCTCCGATGTGAGTGCCTCACCAGGGGTACATTGCTTCGCTGCTCCAGAGCCCACGCTAGCTTTCTGGGCACAATTCAAGGCACTAGTTTTGATTGATAAATCCTTACAAAATCTGGGCCATAGGTAGCTGAAGGAAGTACCTTCTCCCTTAGAACCAGTCTTGACACTTAGGGTCCATTAAGAGCCATCTGTTGATCTGCTGGGTTTTATAACCATTTATAACACTTTCCTTCTGATGTGCCTAAATTAAAAGCTTCTTTGGTGCACCACGTGTATTTTACCATGTGTGTAGCATCTATTCATTTATTAAATCTTTACCAAGAAATCTTTTAATGTGAAACATGACCGATCTTTTGATGTGGGAGTCACTGAATTCCACTTTGTATTAGATTTATTGGTTTTGAATAATACAGCCCACCATGAGTGGTGCCACTAAGTTAGCGAGACTCTTCAAAGAGTGAAGGGTCCAGTGGTAAGTCCCGTACTTCCAAGTGTTTTTTGCCATGGCGTGAGGGAGGAGCAGTGACTAAAACCTGCTTGGAAATATCAGATTAAAAATTCAATTTTACTCGAGTTAGATTAGGATTGGAGAGAAGCTGGGAAGCATTAGGCCATGGTATGGTGATGGAGCTAGGGTGCATAAATACCACCTTGTTTAGCGACTTTGCAGAAAAACAGTGAGGAAGCGCAGCTGCTCTGTTGGCCGTGAATGCTTAATTCCACTGTATGAAAAGTGCAGTTTACATCAAGTAGTGAGTTACAAATGATTTGTGAGTATTTACTGAGTGAGCTAAAGCTCTGTAAAT